AGGGGAGAGGTATGCATCTGTTCCCCTGCCTCTTATGCTGTCTGTCTGCCTGTCTGTAGCTGCTACAGAAATACCCTGGGGTTTGGTGGGGGCCTTCCAGCTTGAGGAAGGAGGGGGCGTCTGTCCATCTGTCTGCCTGTCCCCTGGAGCACTGTGTGTGTGTGTGTGTGTGTGTGTGTGTGTGTGTGTGTGTGTGTGTGTGTGTGTGATGGGAGAGGTATCTGTCTCTCCTCTCTACCTCTTGTGCTGTGCTGTCTGTAGCTGCTGGAGAAACATGGAGGCATCTGTCCATTTGTCTGTTCCCTGGAGAAGTATGTGTGTGTGTATGTATGTGTGTTGTGTGAGAAGGGGGAATCTGGCTAAGAGTTGGCACGTGGGGCTGGGGGGGGGGGCGGGGGGGGGGGGAAGGCAGACAAACTTGTCTGCCTGTCCATCTATCCTCACATTGCCCATCTGCCCACAGCTGCTGCTGGAGCACCTAGAGTGCCTGGTGTCACGGCATGAGCGGTCGCTGCGCATGACGGTAGTGAAGCGCCAGGCCCAGTCCCCAGCTGGAGTCTCCAGTGAGGTCGAGGTGCTCAAGGCTCTCAAGTCTCTCTTTGAGCACCACAAGGCCCTGGATGAGAAGGTAAGGCTGGGCCCTGCTGGATTGGAGCAGGGGGGATACCCTGAGGGGCTGCATGTGGATGGGGGCTGGGCTGGGCTGGGCCTCACTAGGGAGGTTCAAGGGTGTGGGATGGGGGGGAGAACTGGTTCTGGGGGGTGTATTGTAGGGCTGGGCTGGGGAGATGTGGCCAGAGCCTGGTCAGGGGTCTAGTCAGGTCACTATTTGGGGCGGGGGAGCGGGTCTGACTGGGGTTGGCTAGGAGGCCCATGGAGGAGTGGGGGGGGGCTGTCTGGGAGAGACTGGCTGAAGTAGTCAGGTGTGGTTAGGAGGGACTGACTGGGGGAGGGGGTCTGGCTGGGTCTGGCCAGAGGGTCTGGTGTGGGAGGGTGTGGGGGGTGTTAGGGAGGGACTGGCTGGGAGACATTGAGGTGGGACCTGATCAGGGACTGGCTGAGGTGTGGTGACTGGCTGGGGCTGGCCAGAGGGTCCGTGCAGGGTGTCTGGTAAGAGGGGGAGCTGTCAGAGAGAGATTGCCTGGGTGGAGAGTCTGGCTTGACCCTGGTCGGGGTTTAGTAGGACCTGGTCAAGAGGGACTGGCTGGAAGGGTGGGCTGCATCTGGCTGAGGCTGGCCAGGGAGTCTGGTCGGGGGATGGGTGTGCTGTCAGGGAGGAACTGGCTAGGAGAGGGGGTCTGGCTGGGCCTGGTCAGGAGGGACTGGCTAGGGTGGTGGATGATGCCTGACTGGGACTGGCCAGGGGGTCTATGGGGAAGGGGTGCCTGTTGGAGGCACTGGCTAGGGGGTCTGAGTGGGTGCAGCCAGCCTGAGGGTTCTGCTTAAGGATGCAGCCTGGGCTGTGCCATTACAGTGTCCCACAGGGGCCAGGACCAGGTGGTGACCCCTCTCTCCTGCCACACAGGTCCGAGAGCGGCTGCGGGTGGCACTGGAGCGGGTGGCAGTACTGGAGGAGGAGCTGGAGATGTCCAACCAGGAGGTGCGTGGCCCTTAGGCTTGGGGGCTTGGGAAGGCTACCCCTTACCTAAAGCCAGGAGAACTGGGGCAGCCCTGAACCAAGGGCACTGCTGTGGGGAAGCTCACAGCATTGGGGGCGTTCCCTCTCTGGAGGCACTGCTGAAGAGAAGCTCACAGCATGAGGGGGAGAATCCCCATCTGAGGGCACTGCTGAGGGGAAGCTCACAGCACTTAGGGCACTGCCACAGGAAGTTCACTTCTTTCCCTCCCCTCAGTCCCTGTCCCTGCGGGAACAGCTGGCCCGGCGCCGCTCTGGCCTTGACGACGTGGGGAAGGATGGCGATGCTCCGGTATGTGGGGCAACCCAGAGGGGTGGAAATGGCGGGGCTCTGGGGCTGAGCAGCAAGGGCTTGGGGGCAGGTGAGTGGGTGTATGGGATAATAGGGCAAATGGGGAGTTATGGGGTGGAGGGCAGGCAGGGGGTGTTAGGAAGTTGGGGGGCATTTGAGGGGTGTTGGAGTGTCAGTGAAAGGGTATCGGGGGCATGTTCAAGGGTGTTTAGGGGTGGGGGGGCACAGCAGGGCTGTTTGAGGGGAGGTGGAGCCTGTTTGGGGTGTGAAGGGGGGTGTCAGGCCAGTTCAGGGGTGTGCCTGAGTTCTGCCCCCCTCCCCAATTTGCCCACTGACCCCCCCCCCTTGCCTCTCCCCACAGGCGTCGGGGGTGAATGGGATGGGGGGGCCAGCAGGGCGGGGAAGCCGCGAGGTGGAGCTGGAGGAGGTGTTGGAGCGGCAGCGGGGGGAGCTGGCCCAGCTGCGGGAGCGCCTCAGCCTGCTGTGTCGCCAGCTGGCTGAGCTGGAGGAGGCGCTGGCTTCCGCCCACCGTGACCTGGCCAAAGCCCAGGAGAGCAACGCTAAGCTGCAGCGTGACCTCAAGGAGGTGAGGACTCCCCCAGGCCCAGCCCCACCTCCCCTTCAAGACTGCCTGGCTTGGCTTCTCCCTCGGCTCCCCACCCAGGGCCTCCCTGCCAAGTCCCTGCCCTTGCCTGGGCATTGGATCTGGCTTCTTTCCTGCCCAAGCCTGGGTCTGGTCTCCAGTGCATGGTGTTGCCCCCCAATGCATATGTCCATCTGTCTGTCCCTTAGTGCAAGTCTGTGGTGTGTTTTGGGGCATTTCATGAGCCCACCACAGCTGGTGTGTGTGTCCATCTGTCCATGGGTCCTGCAGGAGCGTGTCCATCTGTGTCTGTCTGTCCAGTCCATGGCAGTGCATGCGTCCATCCATATGTATGAGCATCTGTGTCCTATGGTAGAATGCACCTATCTGTCCATCTGTGGCCACCTGTAGGGTCTGCAACCCCCACATGTCTGTCTGTGTGTTTGGCAGGGCAGGCGTGTGTATTTGTCGGCCCACATGCCCCTTGGTGTCAGCGGGTATCTGTTGGCAGGTGTCTGTGTGTCTTGTGGGGCTGGCGAGCTAACATGTATGTGTGTGCGCACATCCGTGTGTCCTGTGGTACTGGGGGGGGCAAGGCATGGTGTCTGTCTGACTGTCCATGTCTGTTAGTGTGTGTCCACTGGTGCTGGTACGCATGTGCCTGTCTCATAGCAAAGCTGTGTCCATCTGTCTCATGGTTCCCATGTCCCCCAGCAGTGCTGAATATCTGTCTGCCCCATGGTGGTGCTGCTTGTCCATCTTTTTGTGTCGTCCCCCACCCCCCAGCATGTTGGCAGGTCTGTCTGCATGTCCATCTGCCCCACAGTGGTGCAGCAGGTGCACGTGTCCATCTCTTGGGTGGTTGGCGGGTCCGTCCATGCGTCCTTCCGCCTGTCCCACAGCAGTTGGTGGGTCTGTCTGTGCATCTGCCCATCTGCCCCACGGCAGTCATTGGGTCCGTCTGTGTGTCCATCTGCCCCACAGTGGCTGGGGTGTCCTTGTGTTTGTCCCCCCCTCCCCATGGTGGATTGGCGGGTCTTTGTGCCTGTCCATCTGCCCCATGGCAGCTGGCATTTCGTTTGTGCAGGCGCTGGCACAGCGTGAGGACATGGAGGAGCGCATCACCACACTGGAGAAGCGGTACCTGAGTGCCCAGCGTGAGGCCACTTCCCTGCACGATGCCAATGACAAGCTGGAGAATGAGCTGGCCAGCAAGGACTCCCTCTATCGTCAGGTGGGCACCGCCCTGCCCTCTTCCCATCCTACCCAGTGCTCTAATGTGAAGGGGGAGGTTGGTCTCCTGGGTCCCATTCTGGTGTCCCTGGCACAGGGGGTACAAGAGCTTGGAGAAGGATCCTAAGGAGGTGTCTGAAGTGTGGGGGTACATCAGGGGACTGTGATGGGGTGTTGTATTGGGGTGGGGGGCACATATGGAGTCTCACACCTTCTGTCCCCCCAGGGTGAGGAGATGGAGCGCTCTGTGTGCATGAGGTGGGTGGTGTGTGGGGCATAGGACCGCTATTGGGGGCCATCACAACAGAGTTGGGAGTGTTGTTTGGGTTCCCACACCCTCTGCCCCCTCCTCCCCCACCCCCTGTGAAGGGTAGGGTCTCTGGGAGGGGGCTGAGAGGGGATGAGCAAGGTTGAGAGGCTTTGGTAGGTTTAGGGGCTTCCCTGGGCTCTCATGCCCTCTTCCCTTTCCTCCCCAAGCAAGGAGAAGGGGCACAGTGAAGGGGTCATGACGGGCCCAGGACCCTGAAGTGGGTTTGGGCAGTGAGGGGCTGTGCTGTTACCCTGAAATCTTGGATTGAAGAACTAGAAGGATGTTGAGAGAGAGAATGCTTGAGAAAGAGGTGTTTCCCCCCATCAAGGGAGCTTTATTCAGCAGATAGCATGCTTAGAATTAGAATTGTACTTGTTACCTTCCTAGTGAATTTTGTTCCCTGTCCTGCTTATCTGACAGTCTGGAGCTTTGCTGGGATGTTCAGGGGATGCAGCCTAAAGACACTTTATTCCCCAAACGCTTTAAATATCTTTTGTTACTTGCATATTGATTTTAATGATGACTATTACTACTGATGCTTTATAGCAGGAGTTTCAGTCTCCTGGCCCCATGGGTCATATGAGGGGCGGCAGGGCTGGATTGGGCCCACAGACCATCCTCTTCCACCCACATGGGCACAGGCATGCACACGCACACATGCGCACCCCCTCCTGCCCCCAGTCCAGTGTATGTGGGGGGCAAGTTTGAGATCCTCACTGCGGGCACCATGTGCAGGGCAGATCCCAGGCTGGTCACAGTGGGTGTGTGGGTCAACTCTGAGATCAAGGGGCAGCACCAGGGGCCAGGTGATGGGGCTCTCTGGGCTGTGTTTTTGACATCCCTGATACATAAGCTATTTATATAATTGATTTTTTCATTCTTGGGTGTTTTCTTCTAAAGCCTTATATTCATTGAATCAGAGAAATCAGGCCTCCAGGGGTCATATACCCAACCCCTTGCCTGAGGTAGGATCAGCCCTATCCAATTGCCCCCTACAAATCCATCTAACTTCTTACAAAGCTACTGTTCCCCCTGACAACACAAGACCTCCTGCTGCAAAATGTTGTTTATATATGCTCAGGAGACACCAAATAGAGGCCATTTGCCTGCTACAGAGGAAGGCGGATCCCACACCCCATTCCTCACCAATCTTATCATGGAGTAAGGTTCCTTCATGACCCCAAACATGGTAATTGGTCTGACCCTGAGAAGAGGGGCAAGACCCTCTAGCGGAGAACAAGCAGGAGGAACTTGCCCTCCTGCTAGCTAGCACAAACCCGGACATAGTGGGGCTCACTGAAACCTGGTGGGATTCAACCCGTGATTGGGTGGTAAACATTAAGGACTACAGACTGTACAGGTGGGATAGAACAGGGAGGAAAGGCGGGGGGGTGGCCCTCTATGTCAAAGAGCAATACATATCCTCAGCAAACAGCATAGGGTCAGAGGAGGGGCAGACTGAAGTGCTCTGGGTTAGAATACATGGGAGTCATGGGGAAAGGGACTTAACGGTGGGTGTCTACTACAGACCACCCAACCAGGGGGAAGAGCTGGACCGGATATTCTCAGGTCGGCTCACGGAGGCAGTTAGTCAAGGGACATGGTCATCATGGGTGACCTAAACTACCCGAACAACTGCTGGGAGGAGCAGTCAGCCAGGTCTGACTACTCATGTAGGTTCCTATCCGAGATACAGGACCTCCACCTAACCCAAGAGGTGCACAGTCCCACCAGGGGAAATGCCTTGCTGGATCTGGTCCTGGCCACAGGTGACAACCTGGTGAGGGGTCTGCGGGTTCTCGACCACCTGCGCGATAGCGATTATCGCCTACTGGAATTCATCATCCAGCGCAGGGTGTCAAAGGCCTGCAGCAAGGCAGTAGCCCTTGACTTCAGGAGGGCTGATTTCAATGAGTTAAGGAGATTAGTCGGAGAGGCACTGAGGTCGCAAAGGGTAGGGGAGTTGGGAGTCCAAGACTAGTGGTCATTCCTTAAGGAGATGATCCTCTGAGCCCAAAGGATGACAGTCCCAACACGAATCAAAGGGGGCAAGAGTGTTCAAAAGCCCCCATGACTTACAAAGGCATTCAGGAACATCTGAAAGCTAAAAAGGAGGCGTACACCTGGTGGAAGGGGGGGCTATCACCAAGGAGGATTATACCTCTGTTGCTGGAGACTGTAGGGGGGGGTTGTTAAGAAAGCAAAGGCAGAGACAGACTAGGACTAGCAACCAGGATCAAAGATAACAAGAAGTCCTTTTTTAAATACATAGGGAGTAAAAAGAAGGCACCGGGTAAAGTGGGGCCCCTGCAGGACACGCTTGGCAATCTGGTAGTTGCACCAGATGATAAAGCTGACCTCTTTAACAAATTCTTTGCCTCTGTTTTTCTGAGAAGGGACCGGGACATCCCCCCCCCACCAGGATTCCAGACGGACTCAGGAGAGGCACAGCCAGGCCTAGGGTCAGAGAACCTAGTTAGGGAACTTCTGGTGTGGCTGGACGTGTTTAAATCAGCAGGTCCAGATGATCTCCACCCCAGAGTGCTGTGGGAATTGGCAGGGGTCATTGCAGGACTCCTGGCATGGCTTTATGAGCACTCATGGTGCTCTGGCCAGGTGCCAGAGGACTGGAAAAGGGCCAGTGTGGTCCCCATTTTCAAAAAAAGGGAGGAAGGAGGACCCAGGTAACTATAAGCCCATTAGTCTTACCTCGGTCCTGGGGAAGCTCTTTGAGAAAATTATCCAGGAGCACATCTGCGAGGGACCAGCAGGGGAGATTATGCTTAGGGGCAACCAACGTGGGTTCGTTAGGAGCAGGTCCTGTCAGACCAACCTGGTTGCCTTTTACGACCAGGTCACAAAATCCTTGGACGCAGGTGTCGTGGTGGACGTAGTCTTTCTGGACTTGAGGAAGGCTTTTGACACTGTCTCTCACCCCATTCTCATTAAAAATTAGGCAACTGTGGCATTGATGCCTACACAGTCAAATGGGTTGCAAATTGGCTAGAGGGCCGCACCCAGAGAGTGGTGGTGGACAAGTCATCTTCGACCTGGAGGGATGTGGGCAGTAGAGTCCCCCAGGGTTCAGTCCTCAGGCCCGCACTGTTCAACATCTTCATCAGCGACTTGGATGAGGGGGTGAAAAGCACCTTGTTCAAATTTGCAGATGACACTGAGATGTAGGGAGAGGTGGGCACAATAGAAGGGAGGGACAGGCTACAACTAGATCTGGACAGGTTACAGGGGTGGGCAGATGAGAATAGGATGGGATTCAATACTGACAAGTGCAGGGTACTGCTCCTAGGGAGAAAGAACCAGCAGCATACCTATAGGATGGAGAACTCCCTTCTCATCAGCACAGAAGCAGAAAAGGATCTTGGAGTCATTACTGATTCCAAGATGAACATGGGGCGCCAGTGTGAGGATGCGGTCAGTAAGGCGAACCGCACCTTGTCATGCATCCACACATGCAACACGAGCAGGTCCAAGGAGGTGATCCTCCCCCTCTATGCGACATTGGTCAGGCCGTATTTGGAGTACTGCGTCCAGTTCTGTGTGCCGCACTTCAGGAGGGATGTGAACAGCATTGAGAGGGTCCAGAGGAGGGCCACTCGCACGGTCAGGGGGCAGCAGGGCAGGCCCTACGAAGAGAGGCTATGGGACCTGAACCTGTTCAGCCTCCACAAGAGAAGGCTGAGGGGGGATCTGGTGGCTGTCTATAAACTTACCAGGGGGGACCTGCTGGGAATGGGAGAGTCCCTGTTCCCCACAGCACTACCAGGAGTAACTAGGAATAATGGCCACAAGTTGATTGAGAGTAGGTTCAGGTTAGACATCAGGAGGCACTACTTAACAGTTAGGGTGGCTAGGATCTGGAACCAACTTCCTAGGGAAGTAGTGCTCACTTCTACCCTGGGGGTCTTCAAAAGGATTCTAGATAATCACCTAGCTGGGGTCATTTGACCCCAGCATTCTCTTTTGCCCATGGCAGTGAGTCGGACTTGATGATCTCAGGTCCCTTCCGACCCTGCCAACTTTGAAACTATGAAACTCTGGCTTTGGCCCCAGCAGGAGCTTTGGTTGCAGCCCACATCCAGTGTCTTCAAGGAAAGCTTAAAAACACCCTGACACACAGCAGAAAAGGAGGGTGGGGCAATCAGCAAAACCCAGAAGCCTGGGAAATCCAGAGCACAGGCATAGCTACACCTAGGTTGTCCCTGACCAGTGGCTGTCCAGTCTCTCCTTGAACCTCTCCAGTGATGGGGAGTGCACAGCTCCCCTAGGCAGTCTAGTCCACTGCCTCACTGCTCTAATATTGAAGATGTTTTTCCAGATATCAAGGACACATATGCTTGCACCCCTGTCTTACCACCCTTCCTTTTTCTGCACATCCTCATAGTTCTGTCCTTGACAAATCACAAGATCCCAGGAAAGCAGGGCCCTCCACAGTTCTCCTGGTCTAACCTCCTGCCAGAGTTCACAGCAGTGGTTCTCAACCTTTTAAAACTCAAGATGCCCCTCAATAGACTCAAGGCTCCTGCATAAAACACTGGCTCTGAGCTGATGCTCATTTTTTGTGCAGAGAAGAACGATAGAACAATTCTTCCACTGCAAAGAACTCAGGCTGCAAACAGGACAGCCCATTTTTGACACTGTGGATTCCTGTTTGAAATCTCTGGGGTTGGTCTTGTGATAGTATTTGCATACTTCACAGTGCTAACACATCCTTTCACCCTTGAGAGGATCTCAAGGTGCCTAAGAATCTCTGGTGTATGCCTTGACAACATTTGCAGCTGGCTTATCCTTAACTAGACAGTTGGCTATTGAGTGCCTCCCAGGGGTGAACACTATCAATTCTTAGGGTTATGATGTGGAATCTCACACCCTCTGCCCCCTGCCCAGTGAGCAGAGGTGGACACCATGGTGTTTTTGTGGGGAGGGTGGGCCCTCACCCCCCCCCCACTTCCTACTCCCAGAACAAGGAGAAGGGGCTCAGTGAGTGGGGGGAGGGGGAGCTGTGGCAGGATTAGGCCCCTGTAATGGTTTTGGGAGAGGCTGCATGGGCTCTCGCACCTTATGCCCCACTCCCAAAGTGAGGAGGGTGGTGGGTTTGGGGCCATGTGAGCTCTTACCCTCTGCCCCCCAAGAGTGAGGAGAAGGGGTGCAGTGCAGGGCTGTGGCAGGGTCGCGACCATGTGGGAGGGTGTGCTGGGGATGGACCACACAGGCTCTCGCATGCCCTGCCCTCCCCAGAGCGAGGAGAAGGGACGCCAGCTTCAGGAATGGCTGGAGGATGCCAAGGCGAAGCTGCAGCAGACCCTGCAGAAGGCTGAGACACTGCCCGAGATTGAGGCCCAACTGGCCCAGCGTGTGGCTGCCCTCACCAAGGTGCTGGGGAGCAGGGAGGGGCTGGAGTGGAGGGGAAGGAGCAGGGCTGGGGATGCAGAAGGAAGGTGTCAGGGTCTAGCAGGTGACAAGGGTGGGGAGCTGGGCCCAGAGGTAGCAGGGGGTGGGACGAGAGTGCCAGGCTGACATCCGTCCATCTGTCCATCCAGGCTGAGGAACGACATGGGAACTTTGAGGAACGGCTGCGACAGCTGGAAGCACAGCTGGAGGAGAAGAACCAGGAGCTCCAGCGGGTATGGGGGAGCTGCAGTAGAGGTCTTGGTGGAGGGGTGGGGTACAAGGTGCCTAGCATTGATGGAAGGAGTCATGGTTCTGTGGAGGGGGGGACCCCTGGTTTGGGAGGGGGCAGAGGTCAGGGGAGAAGGGCTGGTGGCCCAGGGGTTCCCCATCCCTGTCTATAGAGACATGTGGTTGTCTGGAGATGCCTCCTCCTGCAGCATTGGGGGTGCAGGGAGGCTGCTGGGACTTAAGGGGTGTTCCTGGCCTGGATGTCTGCCCAAGTGGGGTGGGTCCTACAACCATGGAGGCAGGGTGCTGGCGTGTCAAGGAGGGGACCCTGTGACATCCCCCACCCCCTTTAGGCACGCCAGCGGGAGAAGATGAACGACGAGCACAACAAGCGGCTCTCGGAGACAGTGGACAAGCTGCTCTCGGAGTCCAATGAGCGCCTGCAGCTGCATCTCAAGGAGCGCATGGGGGCCCTGGAGGAGAAGGTGGGGCTGTGGGTCAGGCATGAGGTGCATCAGCAGGACTATGGGGGCAGGGGCTGTGGGTTGGGCATGAGGGGCACTGCAGGGCTGTGCCGCGGTTCCCCCCATCTCCTCCTGTCCCCCCAGAACTCGCTGAGTGAGGAAATTGCCAACATGAAGAAGCTGCAGGATGAGCTGCTTTTGAACAAGGTTGTTGGGGGAGGGGCAGGGGGCAGGGGAATGGCAGTCAGGGTGTCTATGGCATTGGGGTCTTAGCTGGGTGGCACTTGGGGGTGGAGGCTTGCCGGATTCTGGCTGACTGGGGTGTGATGGAACAGACTAGGCCGAGTGGTCTGGGGGAAGGGTCTGGCACGTTGGTTCACCATGAGGTTGCAGGGGGGGAAACAGGCCACAGCCAGCTCTTGGGTCGGGGGGCAGGGTGGGGGGGCAGCTGGCCTTGAAGGGCTAGGTCAGGGACCCAGGAGCCTGGGTGGTGTTAGTGGGGTATGTTGGGATCTCCCCTGGGGGGAGGGGCTGAGGGTGGGTCTAGGAGGTCTCACTGATGCTCCCCTCCTCCCCCACAGGAGCAGCTGCTGACAGAGATGGAGCGGATGCAGATGGAGATTGATCAACTCCGAGGCCGCCCTGTGTCCACCTACTCTAGGTAACTACCCTGCATGAGGACCACCCCCCATGGAGAGCCCTAGCATCCCAAGCCTTCCCAGGGCCTCTCCAGATGCGCCATTTGGGTCCAGTGCCCCCCAGCCCTGAGCTGCCTTGGCTGTGTTGGGGGTGGTCCTACAGGCAGTCAGGGGATCCCTATGCTGTGGGGACCTGGGCAGTAGTGGAAGGGGTGGTTTGGGAGAGTGGGGGCTGTACAGAGGCTCCCCTCACTCCCCCACTGCCCCCCCAGGTCCCTGCCGGGCAGTGCCCTGGAACTGCGGTACTCTCAGGCACCCAGCAGCTCCCACCTGGACCCCTACAGTGGCTCCGGTGCCCCCCGCAGGCACCGCAAGGGCCGCTGGGCCCCCAAGGATGAGGCCACCAAGGTGAGGGAGTTGGGGGCTGGGCCTGGCTGGGGGGTCCTGAGCTGGGGAGCTCTGCTTGTAACTGAGTTGGGGGTGGGGGGTGTCCAGCCTGGTGCAGGGCAGGGCTGCAGGAGGAAGGTCTCTGGCTGTGTGGTGGGGGTGGGGATGGGCTGGGAGAGGGATAGGGGGTGTCCAGCTATTGTTGACTGCTTTCTCTCCCCTTGCCCCTGGACCTGCCCCTTGACTGGTGAGTTACCCAGTGGCCTGCAGGGCAGGGGCCTCAGGCCAGGTGGGAGCATGTGGTGGGGGAGTCTCCTGCCCATCCCAGAGGGGCTAACCTAATAGGGGTCAGCCAAGGGTTTGGCCCCCGAAGAGTTGGTGGGGGGGATATGGAGACCTTTGGGTTCTCTGCTCCCCCCCTTCCCCCTCCCCAGTGTCTGGGGTTAGAGCCGGTCTCTGTCTCGCTCACATTATGTATCGTCTCTGCGCACCCCCAGGTGCAGGAGTGGGAGCGGGCACAGCAGGGGGGACCCCTGGCCCAGCCGCCCTTTGAGGGGGCCCTGGAGGGCTCGGATGAAGATGAGCATGACCCCCTCTTTGGCTCGGCCGACCTTCTCTCGCCCAGCGGGCAGACAGACGTGCAGACCCTCGCCTTCATGCTGCAGGAGCAGCTTGAGGCCATCAACAAAGAGATCAAGTGAGAGGCCTTGGGACCCCCTGAAGCCCCCTGGGATTCTCTAAACCCCTGAGCCCCCCAAACCTCTGATCCCTCCTCCTCTGAACCCCCCCACCCCGATCCTTCCTCAAACCCCTCAAGGACCCTATGATCCCCTTCTTTAACTCCCCTGGGGCCCCCAAAACCCCTGATCCCTCCCCCAGGACCCCTAGGACCTCCCAAACACCTTGTTTCTTCCCCCAGGGACTGCCTGGGAGCCCCCAAATGCCCTGCACCTGCCCCCCAGGACCAGCTGGGACCCCTGAACAATCAGCCCCTCTTGGCCCCCTCTCCCAAGGTGCTCTGATGTCTTGAAGCCTCCCAGAACACCTTTAACTTAGCCAGATCTTGCCCCACCCCCACAGCCCCTGGAGCCCCCAGAAACACCCAGCCCCCCAGGAAATCCCTGTGCTGCCAGTATCCCACAGGGGGTACTTGTGTCCCCTCCAGGACCCCTCACACTGCCCATGGCTCCTAGCAGCCCAGAAACAGCTGGGGGTCCCTGTTCCCCCCCACACACCCCCTGGGGTTGCATGCTCTTGGGGAACCCCCCAGCACTCATGGGGGCACCAGACCCCTGGACCCTTACCCCTCTCCTACTGCTGACGGCACCTCCCACAGGCTGATCCAGGAGGAGAAGGAGTGCACAGAGCTGCGTGCGGAGGAGCTGGAGAGTCGTGTGGGTCCCTCAGCGCTGGATGGGTCGCTGGGCCGGTACCGGGCCAGCAGCTCCATCCCCCCCTCAGTCACCAGTTCCACGCTGGCCAGCCCCTCGCCCCCCAGCAGTGGGCACTCGACCCCCCGCCTGGTACCCCACAGCCCCGCCCGCGAGGGAGACAAGGCGGTGAGCTCCCACCCCATGTGGCAAGTGTCCCCTGGATGGTGCCCCCCACCACAGGGGGAGCTACGAGCTTCCTTTGGACAGTGCCAGCGCTTCCTTACCTGGTGCTGTGAGCTTCCCTCAAACAGTGCCCCAGCCCCTGCCACAGTGTTGTGGGCTTCCGTGGACAGTGCCCTGGCTTCCTTGCCTGCTCTTGTGAGCTTACCTAGACAGTGCCCTGCCATCACAGAGCACTGCAAGCTTCCCCCAAGCAGTGGCCCTATCCTCCTGCCACATGGGGATGTAAGCCCCCTGCAGACAGTGTCACCACTTCCTTATCTGGTGCTGCAAGCTTCCTCCAAACAGTGTCCCAACCCTAGCTGTACAGTGCCAATTCTCCCACTGTGCTGCATAGGGAGCTTCCCCTAGACAGTGCTCCCACCATCCTGCCCTACAGCACTGCAAGCTTCTCCACAGCATTGCAAGCTTCTCCATGGCAGTGCCCCCAGCTGGGGATTTTCCCAGTTCTGCAAGCTGCCTTGTAAGAGTGCTCTGTGCTCACCAGCTTGGTCCCCTCCCTCAGAATCACGTGGCCAAAGAGGAGCCCCGTGGGGCAGAGGAGAAGGCGCTGGTGCCCTGTGAGACGCCTCCCCCCACCACTCCCCGTGCCGCCCGCCTGGAACGTATGACCCAAGCCCTGGCCCTGCAGGCTGGAGCCCTTGAGGATGGCAGGGACCTGCGGGCAGGGTGAGTTGGGGGAGGGGGGGTGCTGTGACCCTGGGGGGGCAGAGTGCAGGAGGGGGGCAGAGACCAGAGCAGGGGATGGGGATGGGTTTGGAAGAGGGGATCTGGGGAGGGTTGGGAGCAGCTCTGGGTCCATGGGGGCTGCAGTGCTTGGGTGTGTGTGGAAGGCCAGGGGTGTGGAGGGGCTGGTGTAATTGGGGGAGGTGTCCAGGGGGTGTTCTAACCCCTGCCATCCCGTCCCCTGCTCCAGGCTGGGCCTTGACAGTGCCAACAGCAGCCAGGATCCTCTGCACAAATCCACCAAGAAGAAAAGCATCAAGTCGTCCATTGGGCGCCTCTTTGGCAAGAAAGAGAAGGGGCGGATGGGACCGCTAGGCCGTGACTCCCCCTCCCTTGGTACAGGACCTAGGCATCCAGGCTTCCAGCCCCACTATACCTGACCTTTATTTCACCTCCCAGCACTGGTGTAGAACCCAGACATCAGGCTCCCAACCCCCACCAGACCCCATTTCCCCTCTCAGCATTGGATAAAACCCAGGTATCTAGGCTCCCAGCTCCTTCCACTCGAACCCACTGGACCTGACGCCCCACCCAGAGCAGGGGAGAAAACCCAGGTATCCTGGTTACCACCACCTCTCACCCTGTTCTAACCCACCAGACCTCCCTCCACCCCCCCCACCCCCAATCCCAGAGCTGGGATAGACCCCAGGCTTCAGGCGCAGTGCAGCACGGGAGCGTGTTGGGTGTGGGGGTGTCTCACCTGTCTTTCTCTGCCCTTCCCCCCCCCCCAAGCTGGGACCCCTTCAGATGAGTTGTCCCCTGCAGACCCCCTGGGGCTCTCCAAGCTGACGGGGCCCGTGGACAAGGACCGGCGCAACAAGAGGAAGTGAGTGGGGAGGGATGGGGGGAAGGAGTTTAGGGGAGAGCTGGGTCATTGGGGGGCACTGTCTTGTGGGGAGGGGAAGAGGCAGATGTTGGGGTCCCAGTTTGCTCTGATCCCCCTCCTCCTCCAAATTTTCTTCTTCCCACCCCCAGGCATGAGCTGTTGGAGGAGGCCTGTCGGCAGGGGCTGCCCTTCGCTGCCTGGGATGGCCCCACTGTGGTATCCTGGCTCGAGGTGACTCTGCTCTAGGGAGGCACAGGACTGGGGACCCAGATGTCTAGGTCACATTGGGGAGGGGGACTCAGGTGTCCCATTGGTTGGAATGGGCCCATAGCCCCCCTGCCTCTAGGGGCTGCATGCAGAGCTGCTGGGGCTTAGAACCCAGGTGTCCAGGATGGGGTTGAGGTTTAGGACCCAGGTGTCTGGGGTGGGAGGGGGAACCAGGAACTGGCCCATTACACATCCCAGCTGAGGTGTTACTGGGCTTATGAGTCTTGCCAGGGATGGAGTGAGTAGAACCCAGGTGTCCTGGGGAAGAGTGCCTGGCATTGGATGCCCCCGGGTGGGGATGGGGCATGAGGGAAAAGACAAACCCAGGTGTCCTGGAAGAACTAGGAGAGAAGGCAGGGGGAGGCCTGGAGTAGAACCCAGGCACTTGGCAGGAAGTACAGGTGACTGGCACTGGAAACCCAGAGACAAGGTGAAGCCTGAGGGAGTAGAAGTCAGGAGTCCTGGAGCAAGTGTATGTGCATGTGTGGTGGTGGGACCCAGGAATCCTGGAGGAAGTTGAGAGGGAGGGGGCTTGTCTGGAACCCAGGCGTTCGGACACACTGACCCCTGCACCCCCTTCTCCTGTGGCGTGGACAGCTGTGGGTCGGGATGCCGGCATGGTACGTGGCAGCCTGCCGAGCCAATGTGAAGAGTGGGGCCATCATGGCCAACCTGTCGGACACCGAGATCCAGCGGGAGATTGGCATCAGCAACCCCCTGCACCGCCTCAAGCTACGCTTGGCCATCCAGGAGATGGTGTCACTCACCAGCCCCTCAGCCCCTGCCACCTCCCGCACGGTGAGACCCCCGCCACCACCCTGGGCTCTGTCAGTCCATGCCTTGGCCCCTCAGCCCTCCGTCCTTCCCCAGCAAGGCACTGGCTTTGGCCCCCCAGGCCACAGAGTCTAGGTCTCCTCAGCCAGCATCTTGGTCTCCCTCACAGCTAGACACCTCCCCTGTCCAGCACCTCAAATCCTCCTTACAGCTGAGGCCTGGGCCTCCACAGCCAACACATTGACCTTCCCCCCCCACCCCGACCCTGTCCCCCAGACAGGGCCCTGGTCCCTCAGATACCACTCCCCCCACACACAGCCAGTCCTGCCCTGCAGACCTCCCTCCCCCTTCAGCCACTGCCCTGGCCCCCCGTAGATGCCCCTCAGGCAGTGCCTTGGCCTACCAGGCCCCCTCCACTGTACCGTGGCCCCCGAACCACCTCCCCCACAGCTAGTGCCTCAGACCCCACCCCAGCCAGTTCTTCAGCCCTCTTGGCCCCCTAGACCCCAGTCCAATCTGGCCTGTACCTCAAGACCTTCCCCACAGCCAATCCTCCTGCCCCCCCACAACCCCACAGGGGCTGAAACAGCTGGGAGCGCCGGCCCCCCCTGCCGGCGCACAGCCAGCTCCTGCCCCCAGCCCCACCCTTCTGGGGCTGAGGCAGCCATCTCACAGCACAATCTCTTCTTCCTGCTCGCCTGACACCCTCTGGACCTGCCCTGTTGCTCCCCACCCCTATCCAGTCCACGGGCAATGTGTGGATGACGCATGAGGAGATGGAGTCACTCACAGCCACAACAAAGCCAGTGAGTGTGAACACCCCTGTGCGTTGCATGAGGGCACTGTGAGAGGCTTGGCATGACTAGTGCAGGGCAGGTGGGGAACTGGCTTAGCTGATGCTGTGGGGGGTGGGAAGGGTGTGTCGTGGGCCTAGGGTGCGCCCCTGTGCACCCTACTTCTGGCTGGGTCTTGGGGGTCCTAACCGCGCTCTCCCCCTTCCTTCCTGCCTGCCCACCCACCAGGAGACCAAGGAAATCAGCTGGGAGCAGGTAGGGGGTGGTGCACATAGGTGTGTGCTTGCACGGAGGGGTGGGGAGTCTTGCACATCTGTATGTGTGCAAGAAGGTAGGCTTGCACACGTGTAGCACACTTGTGTTCCTGTCCAGCTGATCCCAGCTCAGGGCTTTACAGAGTATCCCGCTGTCCCTGTTGAAGGGGTGGTTGTGGGGGAAAGAAATGGTCCACTCTCCCTGTTTTGCGGGGGATGACACAGATGGATGAGGGGGTTGCAGTGCATTGTGGGTATCAGATGTTGCCTGTCCCTCTTCTGTTGAAGGTGTGGAGTGAATGGTGGGGATCCAAGAATGGTGAGGTGACTGTGACCATAGGGTATATGTGGCATGAAGTCAAAGGTCACTGAGTCAGAGGTCAAGGGTTGCAGCCAGAGGGGCACAGTCTGAAAGGTGAAGAGGTCACAGTAGAGGTCAAAGTTCATTGCCAGCTTTTTGGGGGTATTTGGGGTGGGAGGTGCAAGCGGGGGGTTACATTGTGGGAGGGGCAGAGTTGTAGGGAGGTTGAGTTAGATCCTGGATGAGAGGTCAGGGGTTGTAAGTAATGCAGTCCTGCCCCCTGCTTTCTTGGCAGATCCTGGCCTATGGGGACATGAACCACGAGTGGGTAGGCAATGAGGGGCTGCCGAGCCTGGGGCTGCCCCAGTACCGCAGCTACTTCATGGAGTCGCTGGTTGACGCCCGCATGCTCGACCACCTCAACAAGAAGGAGCTGCGCGGCCAGCTCAAGATGGTGGACAGCTTCCACAGGTATTGCCAGGACCCTCCTGTGCCCCCCCCACTAGGCAGAGCTCCCACAGGGATCCCCTGTACACCAAACCACAGGGATCCCCCCACCCCAGGGCAGCTCCTGGTACCCCCAGACCACAGATTTTCCATGCACACACCCCCGTTCCCATCTCCCCAGGGCACAGCTCTCATGGGGATCCCCAGCACCCCCAGCCCACAGAGATTCCCCCTGCTACGCCCAGACCACAGGGATCCCTCTCCCCAGAGCACAACTCCCACAGGTACTACAGGGACCCTCCCCTCAGCACAGCTCCCACAGGGACCCCCTGGTCCCTCCAGACCATGGGGACTTCCCCCACTCCTGCTTAAGGCAGTGGTACCACAGGGACCACTTTGGTACCCCCAGAGATCCCTTTCCTGGGGCCCAGCTCCTACAGGGACCCCCTGGTACTTCTAAGCCATAGGAATCCCCACTCCCCCAGAGCATGGCTTTCACAGGTACCACAGGGGACCCTGCCCCCAAGCATACCTCCTACGGGAACCACCCAATACCTCCCAGTATCTGCCTTCCTCAGGGACCTCCTACACAGCCACAGCTCCCACAGGGATCCCCCACTACCCCAGACCACAGGGATCTCCCTATCAGGACACAGTTCCCATGGGTCCCCTCCCCCTGGAGATCCCTGAACCACAGATTCTGCCCCCTCCCCCCCATAGGGCACAGGCTTCATAGATACCATCCCGAGAAATCCTGTGCCACATAAGGACCCCCAAAGGGAGTACAGGTCCCATGGGGATGTCCTAGGTAACACCCTGCCCCTCCAGAGCACAGCTCCCATGGGGGTACCCAGGGGGAACTCATGGTACCTAAGTCACAGGGATTCTCCCCCCGCTTCCCCAGGCACAGATTCAGTGGGTTCTGACCCCATGGAGACCCAATCTCATGGC